TTACATGGAAGGGAAAGAAACGGAGAACTTCGATTGGTACATATTCTTATGCATTACGTGTTATGCGTTATGCAAGAGTCTGTGCTCCCCGCTTTACACTGCTCGACACTGTAAAAAATTAAGTACGAGCGTGTAGAGTATGTCAGTATTACCAACTTTTCAAGACATGGGTTAGAAATATTCCAAGCGGACACTGTCTAAGCACTACTACATACACAGCGGTAATGTGGCCGTGACAGATTTCTTAACCTCTATAGCAGTCAACTTTAACGCTTAATATCTCGGTTCGCGAGGCCGCCCCAACGTTTTTTCTTACAGATTCTTTCGTTTTGCGTAAAAACTCGTCGAATGAGCCTAATTTCATCGAAATCGGAGGTGAGGACCGTATTCTGAATAATTACCATTTATAATAAATAATTATAAGAAAGGAACATAAAAGTACTTCAGCACTTAGAAAAATGGCCTCTGCGTCAGAAGTAAACGGTAAGATTTTAAGAAACAAAATAATATTTTATTATAATATAAAATAAACATCTGGAAAATAATAATTTATGCATTTTTAGACTTTACATGCAAACATTGTGGTCATATAATTACTTCTTTAGATGTTGTGCACGAACATGTTGCTTTATTGGGAAAGAAGTATACATGAACAACAATTTATTATTTACAGAAACTGACAACGAAAATAATTCATGTAAGGATATACAAATAACAAATAAAATTTATTTTATATATACATATTATTATATAATGAAGTAGAAATAAGTCTATTTAGCCAGAGAAGAATCTTTATGCTTAAAAATATTTCTTTATGTAAATTTATATGTATTATTTAGTTTTGCACACTTCAAGCCTAATACTTTTGGTCTTAAAATAAAGTTCTAAACTAAAGTTGCAATAGCAATTTCACATATTAAATTGACAATCAATTTAAATAATACTGATACGGTAATAAGTATCTCATTATAAATTATTTATTGTGAAAAACCGAATGATATTTTTACAGTAAATTCTTTATAGTATTTTAAAGATTCTTATTAACATCAATATTATTTAATTATCAATTTAATATGTGAAATTACTAATGTAGCTTCAGTTTAGAACATTGTTTCAAGACCAAAAGTATTCGGCGTATAATTTGTGGAACTGGATAATATATGAGATACACTTACATAGAAATATCATTAAGCATGCAACTTTGATCGAATACGTTTATGTCTATTACACTTGTGTATTTATGTATCAGTCGATTTTCTCACTTCTTATTATATAGGTATATTCTTAATTTTATAATATTTTAATTAATTTCTTTGTAGCAAATATTTTATCATCAGAAGAACTTTCACAAAATCAAGATCAAAACATTAATGAAATAAATAAAGAAGGTATATTTATATTATATTTGTAATTATACTCATTCCATGTAATTAATTTTTATCTCTTAATTAATATTTTTTGTAGAGGCTTTGTGGACTAAAAATAAAACTATGGCACTTTTATCACTATATGAAACAAATATGACACTGTCAGATAATCCTAGAAAAAAAACAAAATTGTGGACTGCAATTGCAGCGGGTTTAAACGAATTAAATATTAAAGTAAACTTTATAAACATATTATCTTTAATAGTAAAAATTAGAAATTATATATTGTTATTTTCTTTCTATCTTTTTTTTCTAGGTATCTGCCGATCAAGTCAGATGGAGAATGAATTATCTCATGAAAAAATATAAGGAATGTATTGATAACAACTTAAAATTTGGAAGAGGTACCATGACTTTTGAATTTTTTGATCAAATGGAAGACATGTTTGGACACAAAAAATCTGCTGCTGCTACATACACAACATCTAGTATTTTATTATCAGATACAAGTAAAAATTCAAATATTGGAACGAAAATTCAATCATCGAAAAAACAAAGGACTGAACATTCTAATTATACTGCTAGTATTTCTAAGAGCAGTTCAACAGGAATTAATTATAAAAATAAAGAAAATGAAGACGCGAACAAGGAATTATTTCATAAAGTAAAATCACAAACTGAAAATAAAAAAAGAAGTGACTTAGAAAATGTCTATTTGGAATATTTACAAAGTGAAGAGAAAAGACGTACCGAACATAACGATAATATATTAAAAGCAAAGAAAGAGGCTTTAAAATTAAAGAAACACTATTTAGAAGTGCGTGAAAAAGAATTAGAGATGAAAAAAATATAGCATTAAACAAAATCAAATTAAAAGAACGAAGACATGACGAAATATTAGAGATTGAAAAGTTAAAATGCGATTTATTGAAAAATTTATTAAATACAAAAGAAAAGTCTAAAACCGATACTGATTCAGAATGAGTAAAATAATTGTACAACTTATTCTCTTTTATTTTTATAGACTGCATATTTATGTTTAAAGAATGTGATAATAGACTATGTCCATTGCATGAAAGTTTAATAATATCGATATTTCTTTTTTTTTTATTACATCGTATTATGATTTATATGATTTTATTATTAAATTCAAATGCTCTTTAAATTCCGAATTTGTCCAATGATGCTACAATTCCTAAATAATTTTTTACTTTTTGTCTTTTATCTCCAGAAGTTAAATACTTTATTGTAAAGAAAAATGCATCATTGTCATCTTCATTATTATCTGTCGAAGTCTTCCATTGAAAAATTGCTTATTTCGCTATTACTTAATTCGCTACTTGAAGAATTGCTACTTATTTCAACATTTTCAATTAAACAATATATTTCATGCTTATTTTTAAGTACAATTTCTTTATGTTTACAATTATTTTAAAATATAAGGAAAAGCGTATATTGTATTTAACTCAGTACTGTAAAGAAAATTTAAAGACAGAAATTTACGACATTTAAATTATAAAAACTTAAAGATAGATATTTTTGTTTCTAATTATTATTTTTATTTTATAAAAGAAATTTATGTTGCAACAGTAAACTGACTCTGAATGCCAAAGAATAATAGCATTATATTTATGCAATATTATATACATGTTTTATTTACAAAATGATTAAATGTAAGTCAAGTTTTCTTTAATGAATAAAATATTGTTACACAAAATAATAAAATTTGACTTTTTCTTTAACTTAAACCTATGTAATATTTATATGTATAGTACTTATACTAATATATAGACCTTATACTAATACTAACTTATACTAATACTATAATACTAGTACTTATACTAATATATAACGCACTCTGTAAAATACATATATATATATATATATATATATATATCTACGCATAATGCAAGTAAGAAAAATATATAATTACATATAATTACGAATTAAGAAAATAATTCATTAAATAACTCTTCTTCGATCTATCCTAACTCTATTAACATTTTCGTTAATGTTTTCAGGTACATCATCAACAATAAAATTATCACATTGCTCATCAGTATAAATAAAATCATTTTCATTAATAGTTATGTAAAATACATGCAGCAGTAATAATATCAGTCACAAAATTAATATGTTTATATTCCGTAAAAAATTTTAATCGACGGAATCTTCCTTTTAAATAAGCAAATGTTTGCTCAACTTTTATTCTTGTTGATGATAGCATAGTATTAAATTCTTTTTCCTGCGGTGTTAAGTGTCCATTGTCGCGAAATGGTGGCACAAGCCATGGTAATGATGGGTATGCTGAATCACCAATTATAAAAGTATTTTCAGGAAATAACATTTCCCTATTATCATTTGCTGTATTATAAAGAGGAGATCTTCTTAAAACGCGAGCGTCATGTAAAGATCCCGGTTCGCCACAATATATATTTGTGAATCACATTTGAGGATCAACCACGGCTTGTAAGTTTATAGAAAAAAATTTTTTCCGATTATAATAATCACTTTCATTTTCAGTAGGTTTTTTGATACATATATGGGTGCAATCAATTGCTCCCAACACTTTTGAAATTCCTCTTTTTAAAAAAAATTGATCACATATAGTTTCGATTTCGTTACCTTGTGGCCATTTAATGATATTTATTTTGGTTAAAATCCAAGATAGTACACGCTGAATCACTCGGAATACAGAAGATATAGAAATATCAAAGCGATCTGCAATAGTTCTTAATGGCTCTGTATTGGATAAAAACCATAAAAATATTATGAAACTTAATTCTGCTGAGATTGGTTTCATTCCAAATGAATGATTTGGAATATATGGAGATTGTTGAAGTTCATCTAAAACATAATTAATATTATACAAATAATTATTTTATTAAATAAATCAGATAATATCATTGTGAATATATACATTTTTTACTTACCAATTAGTTTATAGGTTGCTCTTCTTGATAATCTCAAATGCTCTTTAAATTCCGAATTTGTCCATGATGCTACAATTTCTAAATAATTTTTCACTTTTTGTCTTTTATGTCCAGAAGTTAAATACTTTATTAATGGAAAGAAAAATGCATCATTGTCATCTTCATTATTATCTGTTGAAGAGTCTTCCATTGAAGATTGCTTATTTCGCTATTAGTTAATTCGCTACTTAAAGAATTGCTACTTATTTCAACATTTTCAATTAAGCAATATATTTCATGCTTTTCCATCTCTGTAATTTATATCATTATACACTCATTACATTTATTTCATTATATTTTTTGTTATTATATTATCATACTATTGACCCTTACCGTACCATCTACAATTTGGTGCCTCATCCATTCCATACCCATCAAGGATCACTTCAAATCTCCGTTTTTTCACCTCTTCAAAATAATTTTAAAAATCTCTCAAAATTTACCAATATACTTTCAACTTTCTAGAATAAATATATTGACTCTTTATTTTGGAAAATAATAAATGTGATATAATTATAATTACCGAAAGACTCACAAAGAAACTTGCACGAACAGGAATCGCTCGGCCACTAGTTACCCATATTAAAAAGTTAATATAGATGACTAACAAATAAAATAGAGAAATCAAACCCACTCTGGCGATTCTCTCAGAAACTAAATCTAGAGTTCTGAGCGTTCCAACAAGACTTTACACAGTGGAACACAGTGTAACGTCTCCGTGTCCTAGCTGGAAAACAGCCAGTATCAGTCGGCGGTCTGGCAAAATCGGTAGCCATACACTTAAGCACGAGCTCATGTCCGTGTGCTCGCCTGCGATTGAAAATCTGACATCATTTTCGTAATCAGCGACCTTAAAAACCTCCGAGTAACAAGTTTCATGAAAATTTAATAAGTACTTTCTGAGATATTGATTTCATCCCTCTTAATTGAAAAAGGGTGTTTTCTACCCTTAAAATGCAAAACGGGCCGATATAAAAAAATACGTGTCAAATATTTTTCGATGTTTTAATACCATGCCAAGTTTCAGAAAAATCGGTGAATGACACTTGGGTAGGGTTACTTGTCAGTTTAATCGCTCTATCTACACAAAAGTGATTGGCAAAAAAGGCCAATCACTTTAGTGTAGGGACACCCTGTACAGGAATACGCCGAGTGGCCGAGAAAGTACATTTTCGGTTTTCGGTCGCTTATAACAAGCGACTACTAGAGGAAGCGAGACAGCGAGAGAGAGCGGTCGTCCTTTTCGCTCTAATACTCGTTTGTACAAGTTACTGGTAGAGCAACAAGGATGGGCGCTGTCTCTCGCTGTCTCGCTCGCTCTCGCGCAACGGCGAAGACGGCCGACTGGATGCCAGTAGGTGTATGCTTGGTGGGGGTAAAAGTGATGGGACTGGTTTTCCGTTGTGCCGGGAGCCAAATCAGTGATGCACATTTGGCTCCCGGCACACAGAAAGCCCGCCCACCAATTTTACCCCCACCAAGCAGACACCTACTGACAGTCAGTGATGCACATTTGGTAACACGGAAACCAGCCCCACCACTTGTAACCCCACCAAGCAGACACCTACCAGCATCGAGTCGGCCGTCTTCGCCGCGAGAGCGAGCGAGACAGCGAGAGACAGCGCCCGTCCTTCTCGCTCTACAAGCGAGTATTAAAGCGAAAAGGACGGCCGCTCTCTCTCTCTCTCTCTCTCGCTGTCTCGCTTCCTCCAGTATCGTAGTTGCTTGTTATAAGCGAGCGAAAACCGAAAATGTACTTTCTCGGCCGCTCGGCGTATTCCTGTACAGGGTATCCCGACCTTTTTTACTAATCACTTTTATGTAGATAGAGCGGACAAAACTGAGTCGAAAAGTCCTCTACCATTTTGCAATTTTCGCAATAGTTAACAAGATATTAATTAATAAAAATTGCAAAATATTGGTCTTGAATAATTTTTTACTCAAATACTATCAACTTTACAGAAAAACTGCAAGAAACAAAAATTATTACAATAATTTTATTCTCATATAAAGTTTTGAGAACTTTTTCAGAATTTTTCATCAACTTTTTAGTACTACATTTTCTTATTTTTATCTACATGAGAAAATACGGTATTAAAAAATTCTGAAAAAGTTCTCAAAACTTTATGAGAAGAAAATAAATAATTTTTGTTTCTTGCAGTTTTTCTGTAAAGTTGATAGTAGTTGAATAAAAAATTATTCAAAACCAATATTTTGCAAAGTTTAGTAATTAATATCTTGTTAACTATTGCGAAAATTGCAAAATGGTAGAGGACTTTTCGACTCAGTTTAGTCCGCTCTATCTACACAAAAGTGATAGGTAAAAAAGGTCGGGATACCCTGTACAGGAATACGAGCGACCGAGAAAGTATATTTTCGGTTTTCGGTCGCTTATAACAAGCGACTACGATACTAGAGGAAGCGAGACAGCGAGAGAGAGCGG